TGCCTGTATTGATGCATGCCAAGTTCTGACAATACTACCAAAATATTCGGCCTCTGAATTGCACACTGTACTTTCAGGGAGAAGAACAGTATCTTGTCTCTGACACATTACGTGTTTGCAAACCAAAAGGAGAAAGGCCATCGAGAACAGGAGTGATGTTCATGCTATTTATATCTTCCACTGTTCTGGAACAACACCCAAACAATGTTTGCCAGGATTTTTCCTCCTGTCATAGAGTTGGCAGTTTTACAATATTCTTTCCTAGGTAGACTTCTTTGAAAGAGTTTATGCAAATTGCCTTAGAAACTTGAACAGAGAGGGGGAAAAAGTTGTTACTGGCAGCTGGTCCTTTTTCCTCGATCAATACAATAGCTAATAGTGCTTGGAAAAGCTCTTAATTTGCAGTTTCATTGGGCTATTTTATTATCCTGCATGGAGAGAGGGGGGGAGACAGAAAGATTCCCGCTCCCCCAAATTCTCTAAGTCTGATCAGCAATTTTAAATGCTTTGTGTTAATAATTGTAAAGAGGGGGAAAGGTCACTCCTCAGTTACCCATTTCCTTTATTAAACAACCATCAGGCACAGCCTCAAAAGTAATTTCACAGCCTATGTGTCTTTGCATGTGTTTCCGCCATACAGAGGCTTTGCTGCAGGCAAAAAATGAATGTATCAATAACGAAAAAGCATCCCTAAAGACAACAGTGTGACAAAAACTGATCAGACCAAACTAATTAATTCCAAGATTTTGTCTCTTAACCTCTAAATTCCCTTGTCATAAACGTAAATGCTTTCCACACTTCAGACTAATTTCTCTTCCTCCAAGTTCATTCAGTCAGCATATACTATTGTGGGCAGCTTCCTGTTGTTTCTACCTTCAGAGTGTTTAAAAAAAAAGAAAAAACTTTGTTGAAACATTATATTGGGGGCTACTTTTCTTGACAATAATCTTGCCCCCCTGGATTCAGTTCTGTTTGATTTCTTTGTATTCTGAAGGCTTGTATCCTGAAGCTTATAATAAGG